TATCTAGGCCGTTGGCTCTGTAGTGATACTAATTTCTTTTCGTTTTCTACTCTCTCCATAAAAAAACCAATCTAAATTTATCCCCTCTTAATACAACGAATCTGGATAAGAGTTGTCTAGATTCGTCACAGGTTGTTTTCTTTTTGGGACGGGGGAGTACGTAATAACCCACGGCATCGTACGTACTCCTGGTGTTGCCGTATGTTGCTCTGCGTCGTGCTATACGGCCTACTACCGGTACACTTATTCATACCTCCCCCACAATGCAATCAATCATCGATCGTGCACTAATGCACTGTGCATTATGCGTATTGATGTGTATATATACATACAGGTAGTAGTAGTACTGGTAGTTGTTAGATGCGTACAAAAGACAATTCGTGCTGGGATTTCTTGTACACACTCGCGACGCGTTCTCCCCCATCCCGTGGTATTATCACCAGCGACTCGCGCCACCCACCGGTCGCGTTGCTTGCGTCGTTGGCGGCGGCGGCGGCGAGCAGTCACGTGACGGGCCCGCGTGTACCGGATTCTGTCCGACGTGGCGTGTGGGGGGGGGGTGACGTGGCGGGGCGCGGGGGATTTGAATTTGGTGCGGGCGGCTGAGATCGGCGATCGGATCGGGGAGGGATGGTGGGATGGGGCGCCAGGCTGGCGGTCCAACCTTGCGGCGTGCTGGGTGGAGGGCCCCACCTGCCATGACAGCTATACTACTACAGTAGCTAGCAAGGACTCCAGGAGCACGATGACACGGACTGGAGGAACTGGAGAAGGACGATTCATACTGCATTTTTGCCAAGATTCGTACTAGTAGTATAGCTTTTGCTCGAATTTCATCTGTTTTTGCGGTTCTGCCGAATCAAGCTTGGCTCACCGACGCATTTGCGAATTGATTGGCGTTTAAGGTACTGTTTCAATTAAGATACAGATTTTACATCGGTCTTTGTTAGCACGTTTTTTAAACTGTCAAACACTATATTTCATGCGAAAAATTTATATACATAGATTGATTTAAAATATCATATAAATTCATTTTTAAGTTTAAATTAATTAAAACTTAATTAATAACATGCTAAAGTTTTTTTTACGTGCGTACACTTCATCTTCACTTAAAGCAATCTCAAATAGGGCCTAAATTATGTACGATTGCAGATGTAATTAAATATGTTAACATTGTATTTTGGTTAAAGAAAAAAGGTTCTACAGCAATATCCCTGCAGATGAAATGATACGGTACAACACTGTACTAGTGGACCTGTGGAGTCAAAGAATATACGTTGTTCAAACATGTTATGACTTGGCACGTCCGGTCTCTGCTCAGAACAGGGTATGGATCTATCCATCCATCCATCCAAGTCGCATTCATGAAACCACTACTGCAGCAGTAGCAAATTAACATGCATGGAGCCAGACTTCTGTGGTTTTATTGTCACGAGGGTGTTCTCCTACATCAGCCATCATCTCACATGGCGCTGCTTGTCGCCGGCCGGCCGGCCGTCGATCGACGGCGACATTTTCACAATAATGCAGGTTGCTAAGGTGGTGTTTGGGAAGGAGGAACCCAAACACCACCTAAAGCTTCGAGTCAATCGAGCTCGAGCTAATTGACGAGTGGCAGACTCGACTAGGGCTTAATCATTCGTTTTCGGTATTTGTATTAAGGGTGTCGAGATAGCAATATTTTCAAAAATTTAGTCAAATTTGAATAAATATTGTTAAAATTCATGAAACGTTTTAAAATAAAAATTTCGGCCAATATAATATCATATAAAGGGACCGATAGGACCGAAATTTTGAACGCTGGACTCGAACGAAGCCAAAAACTACAATCAGCTTAGCTAAACAGCTGGTAGAGTAGGACGGCTCTGAACAGTCGTCGAGACAATGGCAGGCAGGAACAATGCTTAATTAGCAGTCGATCGACGTGGTTAATGTACTACCACTGGCAGTACAAGTATAGTGATTGCTGTCGAATGTTCTTGAAAAGTTGCAACGAAATGGGGACCATCCATCCATGCATGCAGCCTACTCCAGCTTTCAGTGGTGATCGACACTCGACAGGACAGACAGGGGTGCAGAGATCATCACATCACACATGTCCAACAACACCATCTCCCGGCCTCTCATCTCTCTCGATCATGGCGGCAATGATGGATTCGCCATGGATAAGGTGAGGTCCAGAGCATGTGAGCTAATGCACAATCTTATCCTCCTCCATGGTAGACCAATGGCAAATGGCACTATCTCTTCGATCTTGTTGTTCTTGGAGAAATTAATTAATATATAGAATGGTTAATCGCTTTGAGTGCATTGCAACTAACAGAGCAGTAGCACGTTAACCCTGCAACTAGGTACCAATTATGCTCTGCGAAATGCAAGGTCTTATTGGCCTCTCGATCAATCAACATGTATCTACTACTACTACTACCACCTACTGCCAGCTTGGCTGCTTGCATTGCTGATAGATCACTCGATTACCGGTTAACAACGATGATTAAACCAAGCCACATACGCAATCTCTGAGAATGACTGTTCCAAAGTAACACTGTGCATTTGCATGTGGGAGATTGCTAGAGTAATTGGCAATGCTGATAATAACATTCTTGATATAAATATATTTGAAAGTACCGTTTGATGGGTTGACCTATCGATGGAAGTGACCAAGTATGTCGAGGATGTCCCTCATGCTGCTGGATATGACCACAGCATTGCCCCAATGACAAGTGTTTGGCATGTGCCATGCTTCCTCTAATTAAACTCCATTATGGATCAACGCAGAATTGATGTTTCTGCATGTTAGGATGAATAATTATAGGTTGGTTGATGATCACAGCAGCAATGCAGTTGGGTTGTTCATGCAATTCCCCCTTTTAGCTCACCAGCTAGGAACCCTTTATTCTCTCCTGAACTGTTCATTCCATGATGATAAATATATATATATATATACTCCTAATATGGATCATCGGTTGATCAATGTGAATCATTCACTAGGTATGCATGCAGCAGCTGTTGTTAACTAGTCTGTTTTTTCTCTGTTGTTGCAATGGCAGTTAGCATTGTGTCAACCTCATGCTAACATTTAGCATGTGCTTGTGTACTTTGGATGACACAAACTTATATAGTTAAGCTTCCATCTAAAAAATGTCTGTGAATGACGTCTGGTAGTAGGTGGATGTGACATAATTACATATAGTTTTTAGTTAGTAGTTGAATAATTGGATTAACAAATGCCCCTCCTCAAGTGCATGCAAAAGGTATCCTACTTTCTGATTCATTGTTGCATTGCATTGCACCCCGTGAAGAAGTAGCTACTACAATCTGGACTACTTGATGTTTGGTTCTTGCAGCTTTTTCTTGAACAACCTGTACTTAGTTCAGTTGATATATATCAGCATGCAAAGTTTATTATTGTTCAGTGCTACTTGCAAGTACATATCTCTAATATATACTAACAATTACTTATATGAATCATTCGAATGCTAGCAAGATATGATTCTCTCAAGGTATGCATTGCTGCAGGAGCAGATGAAGAAGAGATTTTTCACTCACTCTTTACATTGCAAAGGACAGGCATCTTTTTCTGGCTCCAATAATCAGATGTAGCAGCAGCTATTAGCAATGAAACCTACAGTTGATCCATCGATCACCTGATCATGTAACTGACGGATGCATCTGCAATGCCAACTTAATCAGTTAATTGGTGGTCTCAGGTCGACATGCATGTGATGTGCTCCTGTTTAGGGTATCAAAAATTAAGGCCATAATCGTAAGCAAGGTGTAAAGTTGATCACATTCTCTTCATGCTAAGGAAAGGCGATCCTTGCTATCCACATAAAAAATCTCACCTTCCTTGGAAAGACATCCTGTTCAAAAATTCTTTATTTGTCACTGCTTACTAATTGTGCTAAGAAAGAAGTCAATGCGAATTTGTGAGAGAATTTCGTTGAAATGCACGAGGGATTAAACAATTCACACCACTTGCTGGCTTGCTGCAAACGCAAGAATTGTAACATTTCGAACTGGATATAATGCATTTGCATTAACGGGAATCGTCGCACTGGATATGAGCAGAGAGCTCGTGGCTTTGAATTATTGAGAGAGATGAAGAGAGGATTTCTTGGCGAGCTAAGCTAAGGAGAGCGCGCATGATCCAACCAAACATTCCAGCCAAGCAGCTCAAGTCTTTTCTTTTCTTTTCTGATTCCAAACAAGAGAAGAGAATGCCTTTTACTTTAGCATCCACTTGAGTTGTCGCGCTCCATGCTCTATCTCATACTACTACTCTTCCATCCAACTCTACCTAGCTAGCTTAGCTAGCTCTTATCTTGCTACTGTCTCAACTGCTGCACAAATAATTCTTCAGTAACCAACCATTTTTTTTTATCGCTGCCATTTTGCCGCCATCCTTTCTTCAGGATCGCAGCATTTTGCTGTCATTATTTCTTCGGGATTGAAGTTCCATCTACATGAAAGATGAGTTGCAAATAGTGTGATGATCAATTATCAGTTGCACAGCTCATCTGGTTGGATTTTTTTGTTGATTGTTCAGAGTTTCAGCATTTGAGACATGGTCCATGATCTGCCGACATCACGTGAAACGAGTGATTTTTTTTTACCACCTGCAACTGAGGTAACATTTGGGAGATGTAAAGGGCCAGATAGATTTTGACCGACCAATCTCGTCTTAACATATAGTACTACATTTTTTTTACTGCGATTAGATCTGAAATTATTTTACTGCACCTGGTAACCACGCACAGTAAAAGCTTCATTTTGACTCAGAACAGTCTGCCATCCCAAATCTACAGCCGTTGACAGTTAACTGAACTTTCACTAGTTCAATCACTCAACTTATAAAACTGCCGTCAGATATTTTTTTCCAGTCTCACACTTAATTAACTGAGTAACTAATCTGTCCTAACCCATGGATGTACACTGGATCAAGCAGAGGGGAATTAATGGTCTAAACAAAGGATGAGGCTATGAGCACCCACCAACCATACAAATCCTATCCCTGCACAACCCCCTCTCATTTTCCCCCTCTCCTCCTGAGCCAAACAATTCCCTATCCCCTCATCTCACTGCAGCTTTCCACTATACTACCACCACCACTGAGCTGCCACTACTCATCCAGCTAACTAGGAGAAGGAAAAAAGAAGAACACAGATACTTTGGTAACAAGCAAGAAATTGGCACAGAAATGGCTCTGAGGCTGTGGGCTAGCTCAGCTGCCAATGCCCTCAAGATCTCATGCAGTGGAGCCACCAGGGCTGCACCTGCCTACTCAATCTCCAGATACTTCTCCACTGGTATAGCTAGCTTGAGTAGTAGAATTCATATCAAATAAATTTTCTGTTGCCTTTTGCAACAAAGCATGTGGTTGTTACAATGTTCTGGTTCCTGTACAGTCTTGCATTGTGCCATGCTATCCTTGCACCCAGTTATAAATTGCTGTGGCTTCCTTTTTTCTTTTCTTTCTTTTTTACATTCTATATTGTTACATTGACTGGTCCATGCTGTAGTTATACACCGGAGACATACTAAATGATTGAAAAGGGAAGGGAATAAAATTTAGAAATTCCAGTTGTTGAAAAGAGTTGAGTATACTTGTTGTAACTATGGTCCCTGTTGATTTAAGCCATGGTGATGATTTCATGCTGGTATTGCAGTTCTTGATGGGTTGAAGTACAGCTCCTCTCATGAGTGGGTCAAGAATGATGGCTCTGTGGCCACAATTGGAATTACAGACCATGCTCAGGTGAGCCAACCAAAGGAGAAAATATTCCATGCCTTTCATGTGCAACAAGATTAGTTAAAGCTTAATGCATTTCTAAACAGGGCCTAAGTGTCAATTTGCTGTTGTATTCTAAACTACGTGGCATGCTACAAAATCAAATATTCTGCCCTCTGCTGCAACAACTAACAACCCTTTTCCTGATATGTCACAGAACATTTTCCTTTACTACTTTTAAGAAATATGATGAAGTACCTTTGCTGTAACTTTTTTTTTCAAACTAAATAGAACATGTCTTTTGTTACTTTAATAAGAAACAAGATAAAGGAACTAACTTCCACTGCAGAATGCTAGCCAGTTACTTTTTAGTGCTACACAGTAATGATGGCAATTATTTGAAAACAAAAGTAACAGTAAGATGGGGGGTAAAAAATAATTTGATTGGACCTGACTAGATATATATTTTTTTAGATAATGAATTTTTATTAATCCGGTCTCTGTATTCATGAGGGATATACATAGCCATGACTAGATATGTATGTATACTCGCAGGGCCATCTGGGAGAGGTGGTGTTCGTGGAGCTGCCGGAGGCGGGGGCGAAGGTGAGCCAGGGAGGTGCATTCGGCAACGTGGAGAGTGTGAAGGCCACCAGCGACATCAACTCCCCCATCTCCGGTGAGGTCGTCGAGGTTAACGACAAGCTCTCTGAGACACCCGGCCTGGTATGTACTCCCACCGTCTCAAAGAGAGTATAACCTCCGTTAAAAAAAATCAACTTTTGAAAATAAATCTAAACATACATTTGTGCATATTCATTCTCAGAAGTTACTTTTTTTAACATAGGGCATATTAACAATAACGCTGTAAAATTACATGTGTCTCTTTTTTTTTTCAAGACTGGTAGCATGTCCCTGTTTAAAGGTGTTAGTTTAATTAACCGGAATGTCTCTTTGTTAATTTAATTCATTAGTACTCTCCACAAACTAGAATTACAAATTCTTTTTTGCGAGACAATTTTCAAACCCTAATGCTACTGCCAATGGTGGTGACAGATTAACTCAAGCCCGTACGAGGACGGGTGGATGATCAAGGTGAAGCCGAGCAGCCCGTCGGAGCTGGACGCCCTGCTGGACCCGGCCAAGTACACCAAGCACTGCGAGGAGGAAGACGCTCACTAGGCTCTTCCTCTCTGTTTTTTTTCTTCCCATTTTGTCACTCCGACCTAATTTCTCCCTGTTGCAACAACTGCTCTGTATCCGTATACGATTAATAACTGAATCTTCAGGCTTTGCCATGTGTTCAGTTGGTTCTCTGAACTTCTGGTGGGTCTATCTATTTATCTATGCTTAATTAGTCACTTCAAGCCAGTGGTCTGTGGAAAAAAAAAACAATGAAAAAAAAATTGGCCATCTATCTGCTCAGGAGCAAATTATAACGGCTTATCTATGTATTAGAAAAGGAAACAGCAAGTTCTTGACATGTACAAATCGGTACGTGTTAATTTCTAGTTTTAGAAATATTAAATAAAAAACTAAATTAAGGATGCATGACAAGTTAACTTGGTACTTGTTGATTTTAAAATACTTAAAAAAAATTAATTTTAAGTACTGTAACTTAGTAATACTTAGTACTTACTATTAATTCTTAATTTAAAAATATTTAATTATGAAACATAGAAAGTAACCGAAGATTGAACATATTGTTAGTAGAGTGACATTCACAGTTGACTTCCAATAACACATCAAAATTTAGGATGCATATAGGAGTACTAAACTAAACGTACAGCCAATGCAAACGCACCGAGAAAATTCAGATTTCATCACACCATGACACCACACCGGCGTTTCTAACAAGTTTGTAAATAAAAAAAAAAACTAAAATAATAATAACAATAAAATTAGTACGTGTAAGATTCAAATCGGAATTAACCGGGGGAGGGGTGCGTGTGCGTCGCGGGCGAAAGAGATGGGAGGCCGGTTTTCCGAGGGAGGTTGTTGGGCGTGCCGTCGCCGACGGGGACGCGCCACCGGTGCCGGTGCGCGCGCGGGCGCCGTCGCGTCGCGTCCCCCGTGACCGCCTCCGGGCGGCACCGGCAGCGGCGGCGTCACGGGAGCGGCGCGCGGGCGCGTCAACGTCGTCCGCGACGTGGGTGTGTTTTGCTTTGCTCGGCTCGGCGTGAGGAGAGCAGAGGCATCGGCGCGTGGTTGGTTTGGGGGCAAGGCAGAGCGCGGGCGCGTCCACATCGGGTTCAGGTCAAATCCCCTAATCATTTCGCTAATTTGACCGGAATTATTATCAGCAAACACCTCTATACACCGTGGTGTAACTGGTTCTCGTTTTTATTTCAAACTAATTACTCCCTCCGTCCATAGTATAAGTTGTTTTAATTTTCTTTCTAATCAAACTTCTTTACATTTAACCAAACTTATAGAAAAAAAAGAGAAATATTTATGATGCCAAATTAGTTTCACTATATATAACCTTGATTGATAGTATATTTGTCTTGTGTTGGAAATGTTATTGTGTTTCTTTATAAATTTGATCAAACCTAAAAACTTTGACTAAAGCCGTGTTTAGTTCCAAAATAATTCTTCAAACTTTCAACTTTTCCATCACATCAAAACTTTCCTACACACACAAATTTTCAACTTTTCCGTCACATCGTTCCAATTTCAACCAAACTTTTAATTTTGGTGTGAACTAAACACAGCCTAAGAAAAAAAAACTTATATTATGAAATTGAGGGAGTATGTGCCAGTGTGTTGCAACGGGAACAAGAGATAAAAAAACTTGTAATTTAGTTTCTTTTATATCGGATTTGGAAATAAAAATGAAATTCGGTTTTGTTTATGCTGGTTTTTCACGGGCTTTTCTGGAGCTGTTTTTCTAGGGAAAGAGTAGAACGACTGTGCTTTTAAAGTAGTTAAGAAATGAAGTCAGGCTGTTTGAACCAATAAGCGGTAGAAACACGGAAAAATTAGCATAAAATTATTTATAGGTAAATATTGTATATTTATATTGTTCTCAGTTTAAAAGTCACTGCTGGGAAATAAATTTCAATGAGAAGTCCCCAAATTCAACTGTAAAATTGCGTTTTAGATTTTATTTATTTATTTTTATAGTCGCACATTTTTTTAGTTTGCTAATACATGGAAATCGTCAAATGAATTGGGCAAGTCTGATGGAATGCAGGGGAAATATAATCAGATTAGAGTAGGTAGCAGATTATCAAATGTTTGCAAGTTCTTTCGATTTTGGCCCGAAGGTAACCAGTACGTACTAGAGGAGTACAAATGTAGAATACGGTTGTTTGACTTGGAGATACTTCAGCATTATGGAGTAGAATACTGCTCCTACTATAGCTGGTCAGAGGGCAGCGAAGACTGAGTTGTCAGTGAGAAAAGGGAAGCGAATATATGCGTTCAGTTCAGACTTTCAGAGACGCTCTTTGAAATCCTGGGCGCCATGATCCAATCAATTATTAGCACTCTTCGGTACAGCGGAATAAAGTTGTGTTTTAAGTTCATAATGCTGTATTTATTCTTGATCATGGACTATACTTACCAGATTTATTGTTTAGTACATCTAAACTCTTATTACTGAACCCTGCTGTCAATAGTAGTAGCAGTACAGAATCAAGTTGAACATAGAATATATACATAGTCTCTTGGAATTCAAACTCTGGTCGAAATCTAAATCAATCATCAACAATATGAACAGAAACAGGAGGCACTCGGTGAACTTTACACGAACAAACGAAAGAATAAAAACCAAAATCTCTTTGGAATCGTAAAATGGACGATCCATTTTCATAATCACCTCACCCTCCCAAATCGCTGCCATTTTTTTTTTGCACCACAATGTGATCGAAATTCCTCCATTAGCACACACAAACCCCACCTTTTGATGCTCCAAATCTTTTCCAAATCATACCACTACTACTTTTTTTCTCCTTTTTTTGATTCTTTTTTTTTTGAGGTGCTCGCCCACTACCCCGCTTTGTTCTAAGCTCCACCCAGTAGGAGGGGTCCACGTGTGCAGGTGACGCCAGATGACGTCATCGTCGTCATCGCAAGTTACAGCTCACCAAAAGCCCCCCAGATCTAAGCGCCTAGGATTCGACACGCCTCGTGTGAATCACAGCTTCCCGTGGCCGTCGGATCTCCTCGCGACGGCCGAGATGGAGCCGTGCGCGCCCTGCTCCAGCGCGCGCACCACGTCGGCCATCGATGGCCGGAGGCTCGGGTTCTCGCCGACGCACGACGCCGCCAGCGACGCCACGGCGGAGGCCTCGCCGGCGTCGTAGGCGCTGCCCAGCCTCTCGTCGACCAGCATGCGGGCGTCGCAGGCGGCGCAGGAGGCGGGCCTGAGGCGCGGCGCGAGGACGGCGGTGAGGAGGCGGCCCTCGGCGGCGCAGAAGGCCTCCATGCCGGTGAGGAGCTCGAGGAGGAGGACGCCGAAGCTGTACACGTCGCTCTTCTTGGTCACCATGCCGGAGCGGATGTAGTGCGGGTCGACGTACCCCGGCGAGCCGAGCATGGTGTGCGCGGAGGACCGGGGGCGGACGGCAGCGGAGAACCCCATCCGCGCCGACCCGAAGTCGCAGAGCTTGGCGGACATGGCCTCGTCGAGGAGCACGTTCGACGCCTTGACGTCGCCGTGCACCACCGCGGGCTCGCACCGGTCGTGCAGGTACTCCAGCGCCCGCGCCACCTGCAGCGCCACCGACGCGCGCCGCGCCCACGGCATCGTCCCCGCGGCCTTCCCGCCGCCGTGCAGCCGCTCGTGCAGGTTCCCGTTCGCCGCGAACTCCAGCACCAGCACGCCTTCCTCTGCAAGGACAAAAAAAAACCAAAGAATTCTTCAGCACGACGCGGTGGCACACAACCTGCTCGAGCAAACGCCCGCGGCGAGGCTCGCGCGAGAACGGGAGCACCCAACCCACCTTGCTGCTCGCAGAAGGCGAGGAGGCGGACGATGTGAGGATGGCGGACGCGGAGGAGAGCGTCGAGCTCCTGGCGGAACACGCGGTGGAGCCGCTCGCTGCTGCGGTGGACCTTGACGGCGGCGAGCGCGCCGGCGACGCGGGCGAGGTACACCGTGCTGAACCCGCCCTCGCCGACCACCGCCGACGTGAACCCGCCCGTCATCGCCTCCACCTGCGCCCACGACAGCCTCCTCGCCGCCCCAGCCACACCACCCTTTCCCCCCTCCTCCTCCTCCCCAAATCCCCCGCCGCCGCTGCCGCCGCCGCAGTCCGCGTCATCGTCGCACCCCCTGTCACCGGCGGCCGAGGCCGCCATGTTCCCGCCGCAGCCGCAGCACAAGAACCTGTATCTCTGCCACATCCTCGCGCTCGATCTCAGCTCGCGTTGCTCCTTCTCTGCTTCTTGCACCCACGAGAAGAAGAAGAAGAAGAAGAGGAGGAGGAGAGGAAAGGCGAGAGGAGGAAGAAGAAGAAGAAAGGAGGAGACTTTGTGTGGCGTTTGGGGCTCTGTATTGTAGCCTTATATATTGCTGCGTGTGGGGATTTCAGATTTGGTGGGGGTGTAAACTGCAAAAAAAAATGCAAAGACAAATTAGGATGAGATGTTGAGATGAACTGGTGACTGATTAAAAAATTGATTATTATGCAGGAGCAGAAAGCAGAGCCTGGGGGTGAGTGACTGGCATGTGGGGCCCACCTTACTCACTCACTCATTCACTCACTCGCCAGTGTTAGGTTACAACAAATACACTTGTTAAACATGTACAGGAAATCCGTTTTGAGCTCACCTTCTTATTCCATTATTCCAACATCCCTGGAATCCAATAGATTACACTGAAATTGAAACAATTATGGCCCTTTTTGGATGGGCTAATTATTGGATTTTAGATAAATCGATCACTCATAATGTGAGCTATAGGTACATGTATACGTGGTAGCTTAGGTAGCTCCATTGGATTAGATTACAGCTGAAACGCCATTATATGTGACACAGGACAGTTATATTTCCTTCAAGATCCAGGATGTCTCACAACCACCATTGATCGTCTAGGTGAGGTACGAAATGATGCATGCAATGCAAAAGCTTTTTCATCCCATTTATTAATTTGCCGCTGCTACACTGATCACTGATCAGCTAGCTCAAAACCAGAGAGATCTAGCTGATTAACCACCCAGCCATGCATTAGCTGGTAATTAAACTGTGCAATTACCAGCAGTACACTTACACTGACGACACAAATCCTCTCTTTCTATAAAGTTACAGCCACAAGCTCAACATGCGTGAAGCTAAGATGAGCCATTCGATCTCTCTCATGCTTAATCTCAACCGTTCATGTTCTATGCAATTATATTCCCTATTAATTACTCAACTTATTTAGTACCTACTTTATTGCTAATTGTTCTTGCTTATTTATTTAATAAAATTTCCATCCTCCTTAAAAAATGGAGATATGGAGGGTAGAGACGCCTCTCCATTTTTTTTTAAAGAAAAATATGTAAGCGTGTTGGGGATTGAATAGGGACCTCTGGGTTGAAACCACACGTCCCTTCTCACTAAACTATTAAGTGCATCCAAAATTTTTTTTATTCTTATATAAGTGTCCGCAGCAATGGATGGGGTTTCATCGAGTGACAGTAATGACAACCACCATGTGATGGAGCTTGGGGGTCCGAGGAGGCGACAGAGATATGACCGGGATGGATTTGGTTGGTGGCGTCGGCTTGGTCGATCCGGCCGGTCGCCGTGCATGGCCCGGCCGGCCGGTGGCGGTGGCGGTGGTCAAGGGGGAGGTGTGGAGCTAGGAGACGACGACGGCTGGTGTGGTGGCCATCACGGTGGGCGCAGCGATCGATCGATCGATCTGAGCGGAGTCGCCGCGATTAATGTGGGTTTTTGGTTGCTTCTGATGATCTGTCAGCGACGGATTTTGTGGCCGCGTTAGCGAGCTTATTAGCAGAATGCTTTGATTTGTCCTTGAATGCATGCATATGCATCTAAGAAATCATGGGGTGTGATACTGAGATGAGTCTGTGATGCTAATTAGGCTGCTTGCTGCTGGAAGCTTGCAGATTGCAATGCTCGAGTGTTGTTGGCGAAGTGAAGCTGGCAGGCTCGAATTAAGCTCGCATACGAGTGTGCTAGATGCTGGAATGAAAACTGTCGAAAACGATATCATGTCTATGGAAAATGGTTCTCGGTTGGTCGAGAATTTCATATACTCAATTTGATGGCGATATCAGTACAATGTTGATTCCAGAAATCATAAAAATCAAAGTTCTATATATATAGGGATAGAATAAAAACAATTGGAAATGGTACTACTTTTACAAAAATTGTGATACTCGGTCGATCAGGAATTTCCGCCACCATGTTCCCCTTGTAGTAGTATCTAGGACTCCTGCTGATGCAGACGAAAATGCAGTCCTTGGTGGTAAAAGAAATATCTCTGTTCTCTGAAGTCACAAGGTTACATCAGCAAAAGCAACATTTTGCTTGTAAACCCTGACTAAAATGTCAGTATATAGTTATGCATCAGTACTTACTTGCCTTCTGCTGTTACTACTACAGTTACTACTACCCGTCTAACCTTTCGGTGTTTCAGATTTGCGAGTTAATAAAGCTGAGCATAGATGAACAGCTTTTCAAAAGGAGAGAGAGGGGCATGCATTGCACACATCGGATTCCTGAAGCTCACAGGAAAGAGAGCTAGTATCTCTCTTCACGATCGATCGCGTTCACTGAACTCAACACATCTGCATGGGCTGCGTACGGGGAGCGGTTTTAAAAGGTGAAATTTATTGCTTCCAAGCTACTGTTCTTGCTACGAGCAGCTAGCCATCCTGTTCTTGCTGCCCTCTCTTTAATCTTTATGGATCGAACCGTCTTAATTCTTCTTCTTCTTCTGATCTTCCCCTCTTTTGCAATGCAAGGGCATCTCGCCGTTTGGATGATCCAACAAGACAAGACACTGAAAATGTGACAAGTGTAGGAGTCACTGGGGTCAAGCAGGAGTAAGTGTGCTTCTACGTACAGCTGCACCTGAAAAAGTGAGCAATTGATCTCTCGTAATGAACACTTCTGGTTTACTGAAGCTCAATTCAGAGAAAAGTTCAGAAAACATATATGTGAATAAAAACAGTGGGAGGAGAGGACTGGTGATCATTTGACTCGGTTTGGGACCGTCGGATGATGGCTCGTTGCATGATCTGGACCGTCCACCTTGCGCCGATATCACGAAACCATCAAGGTTCAACAGTGCATTGGCTTGTCAGCATTAGAGAGAAAAAAACATCCGGTGGCACGCAGCAATCAGCAGCGTTTGGTTCTTGGGAGGGTGCTGCTATGCTACGGATGCTGCAGCAAGAAAAGAAACCTGTACTGGGAACAAAAAGTCGCTGAGGCTAAGTCATCAGGAACAGTAGCAGCATCAGCAGCAGCTTGGGCCTTACTACTAATTGAGTAGGCCAATGAGCAATCATTTGGTGCTGATTCGGATGGCTCACTGACCACAAAACAAAGCACTAATCTGCACTGTGTTGCAAAATGGAGTACGTCCAAATGCTCTTTAAGGACAAAGTGATGGTCACAGTGAAGCATCTTGATGAGTGAATTTTGGGACGCCATAGACTTTTTCACTCTGAAACAGCTACTAGCTGAGATATATAATTGCAAGTGCTACCAGTAGAAGTGTAGAACACAGAACAGTGTTCCTGGTGATGGATGATGACAGAATTGCATGCCTACAAAGAAAATAGTTTCAGTCAGTGTCCTGAATCACTGAAAATATGGCTTTCTTTGATTCCCAGATTGTCTGTGAATCCTTTTCAGAGATTTAGTCATCACTATGTTCAACTCTCGTGAGAAAGATGCAAACAAAAGAATTTGCATCCGAGATTAGGTCCAAGTATTAATTTAAGCAGTTACACCCAGCGTCCCGGACAAGAAATTCAGAGCTTTCTTCAGCAGGTTACTGTCATTTTTCACGGCTACCTGATTTGGTCACTGATTGCTGTCCTGCAACAGTGATCTGCAAGGTGACGAAAGAAACTAGCTCCGAAAGCAACGGCAGAAGCGAGTTTACATGTCACATTTTGGTGACTTTCCACGGCGAATTGCACCGTGTGGATCACATGTGCTAAACTAAACTGTCTTGTGCTCTACTGCTAGTCCCTGAATCGTATTAGAGTTCAGACTCACGCGTCAGTTCGTTTGCCTTTGATTTTGTGGCTTGTAGATAAACAATATACTAATGTAGAGATTCTGATATGAGTGATGGAGAGAGTATGTCAACAACCTGAATGCGTGAAAGCTGCTAGATAATTATTGACAATGTACCGTAAAGCGCTCGAGTTCTTGCTTCCACAACTAGGCAACAGTTTTTTTTAATAAAACTTGTAAGAGAAACAAAACAAAGAGCCTTTCATTCCATGTGTAATGTGTTCATTTAGGTCACAATTTTTCTCTCTTGTGATTCACATCTCACTGACACCAAGAACTTAACCCCTCACCTCTCAGTTTTGTACCATCTTTATTTATCATCTGAATATTAATTAATTGGTGCCTTCAGGATCTTGCAGTTCTTGGGAATTAATCATAGCTATCTAGGAATAGGACAGCTGTTTGTTTATGAAAAAAGGCTTGATCTTGATGCTGTTTCATCGTCTGATCATACATCGCAGCGCCTTTCGGATGTGTACTTGTGTAGTACACTATAAAATCGTATCGTCGCGGCGATCACATCACGATATATTGGATTGAAGATTTGGAGTCCGTCCATGGAGAGAGCAGCACAGGGATACACATCCTGGGGTCCAATGTAGAAGACGACGTCCTAACATAGTGTGCACTTAGTTTCAGTCCAATTGACACGAAGAACACACAATTAACACCAACAGTGCAGTCTCCTGCTGGGCCATGCGTGGCTGAACTCTGATGGCTTCCAAATTCCATCACATTCCCAAAATCGCACCGCCACCACCAATCAATCATGAACACGACAGATTAATTAGAGTTTAAATACTTAAAACTATAGGCATCTTTGAGCGATGTGATGTGACTCAAATTTATTTGCTCAAGACGAGAGCGTGAAGCAAGCAAGAAGCTTCACGAGTCATTCAGAAGAAGAAAAAAATCGAACTTTTTAAGGCAGAAAAAGATGTGTGCAACAGGAGCTACTAGCTAGAGGAGTACTAGAGAATCAATCAGACAAGAACAATCTTCCTAAACCGTGCGTGCGGCTACTAAATATATAATTTAGAGACAATAAATATGCCATGTCTTTTGCTTGCCGTACCACCAATTCAATCGTTTGGTGCAATGGATATATGGATATTCAGAGGGGAAAAATAATAATTTTGGGGGAGTTTTGCAGTGTGCTTGGAAGCTACGTGCGAGGAGCGAATGAGCAAAATGGACATCAGAACTGACAAGACTGTGTTCATCTAACTTCCAAGCTCAACAGCTTCGCAACGAGCCATAAAATAGTACTACCCATGGGGTCCTATACTCC